AGGAACCTGTGCCGAGTTGCATTCACATCTAGTTACTAGTTTCGTTCTCCGGAAAAGGGCTTCCTTCATCCCACTTTCGGTGTGTCGGCAGTCCCCCTCCAGGAATGGTGACCGGCGCTGCCTTCGTGGTGAGCCGGACCAGCGTGCCTGACATCACCTCCGTTTGGCAGGTCCTCGAGGTCCTGGCTATCTACTTGCTCTTCTCGTTGGGCTCCTGGTTCATCTTCTCTGTCCGGCTGGGCAACATACTCTTCAACGGCAAGGCACCGCGCAGCAACGAGCCCTGGCTTGACCAACTAGGTCACAGGCGCGCGAGGCGCCGTGTGACTTTGGAGGCTTAACATTTGCATATTCCTCGGGTTTTTGCACGATTTCTAAGGAAAAGTCGTTGTTGAGCAAGAGCTGATACTATTCATTTTTATATAGATATGTCTGCGTTAGAGGGTTGTTTGCAAATTTACTTCGCAAACAATGGAATGCAGGCTTCAATCTAGCAAGGGACGGGCCGTAGGCAATACTTCTTAAGATTATGTTACTTCCTATGGCTTCGGGGCAAGTTGTATTTAGGAGTATGAGGGAACGGGCTGTGGTCAATAGCTTACTTCTTATGGCTTCTGGGCAAAATATATTTATTAATAGGGAGCGGGCTGTAGGCAATACTTAGTATGATTATCTTACTTCCGATGGCTTCGGGGCAAGTTGTATTTAGGAGTATGAGGGAACGGGCTGTGGTCAATACTTAGCATGATTATCTTACTTCTTATGGCTTCTGAGCAAAGTATATTTATTAGATTTTATTCGTAGGGAACGGGTACTTAGTATGATTATCTTGCTTCCGAAGGCCTCTGAGCAAGTTGTATTAGGAGTAGCAGAGAATGGGCTGTGGTCAATACTTTGCATGATTATCTTACTTCTTATGGCTTGAGGGCAAGTTGCATTTAGGAGTATGAAGGAACGGGCTGTGGTCAATACTTAGTGTCAAAGTAGGCATATAGGACAGCCGCTGTACAAGCGTCGCCGGCCGAAGGATGGAGGCTCACAGCTGTGCGTACGACGTAAAAGGCCCGTTGCGGTCGCTGTTGAGTTTTGTGCCGTTGGGGTTTTCTAGTGGTAGCGGAGCTCCGATAACGGGGCTCCTTAGTGGGTGTTTCGGTTGGTTGGGGAACGGTGTTTCCAGTGTTGCCCAGGACTAGTGCTGGGTTGTTGGTTTCTGTAAGTAGTGGCCGGGATACCCTTGAGCCATGAGTTCGTTCGTGCGCGATGCTGTGGGCCGCGAGTGGGAGCGGGTGGACGACGAAGACGACGAGAGATCTTCTACTACGACAGTGCTTCCGTCGGCGTTGCAGACACCGACGTTGGCGCAGCAGGACGTCAGCGCCGTGAGACCGGAGCGCTGGGCCCCTTCAGTGAATGGGTCATTGGAGGGGCGAGAGCTTTGGAAGGGAACGCCGCTCAGGCGTCCGTCTTCGTGGAACTGGGAAGTTGCTTCAGCCCCGGGGGGCCTGGAGCATGAGGAGCCCTCTGATGGGTCGTGGGAGTGGCAGGAGCAAGATTGGTCTCGCCATTCATGGGAAAGCGACCCTTGGGCCAGCCACCTGGATTCTGCTCGCCCCGGCTGGAGGCGTCACTACAGCAATTGGGAGGCACAATCATGCGACGAGGAGAAGGCCAACACGCCTCCTGGTGAGCATGTGCCCTTTCCCCGTCTTCTGTCTCGGCGAGAGAACAGTCCGACTGAGGACGACAAGTCTGAAGTGACGTCTAGGAGAGCCCAATTTCTTGGCGGCCTTGAGGACACACCTCAGGTCGCCCGTGGTGGAGTTCGAGGACGCCACCTTTTACATGATTCTGCGCAAGTGCTACAGAGCATGGGTGTTCATGATGGAGTACATGATTCACGACAAGGTCCTCATCAAGAGCAAGAACGGCGACCTCTACACGATCAGCCGCGAGGACATCACCCAGATCAAGGACGGGGACTTCGACACGATCAGCCGCAAGGACATCAGCCAGATCAAGGACGGGGACTTCTACATGATCAGCCAGCAGGACATCAGCCAGAACAAGGACGGGGACTCCACTTGGCTCAGGTCGTTGAGCCGCGTGCTGACAAGCGGGGTGATCGTCACAGGGCCCAGGGTCGCACAGCCGTGCTGACAGGCCAGAGGGATCGTCATATCTGAAGTTGCACTCTTCGTTTCCCCCGGAGTTTCGTGCCAAGCCCGGGGAATCGTGGAAGGACCATTGGAGGTCGGTTGAGTTCTGGCTGGCCTCCGAAGGATCCAATCTTCCTCCAGGAATACGGGCATCGCGGCCGATGCAGCAGCTGAAGGAGAGGGCCGGGAAGATTGTCAACCACTTGAGCGTGACAGAGGTCACGGGTCCCGACGGAGTGGAAGTGATCCGACGGGAGATGGAAAAGAGCCCTATAATCAAGTTGCTCGAGCACAAGGAGGTGGACAAGAAGCGGCAAAAGTTTATGAGACTGGGTCGCTACCCGAAGGAGTCGCTCGAGTCTTTCATCAACCGGGCGTCGATCTACCGGCACGAGAATGACGCATGCCAGAACTACCGCGTGGGCACGAAGTTCTATTTGGGTCACTTGATGGATGCGGCTCGACTAACCCGGAAAGATGAGGCCCTGATCAAGACGGCTTCGGGAGGGCTTCATGATGAAGGTCGGGTGATCAATGCAATGCTGGAGCTGTCGGAGCAGCTGGAAGGCCTTCCGGGATATCCTATAGGTCGTGGCGAGCCTGAACTTCCCGACGAGGACCGCTACCTGGTGCAGAAAGACAAGGACCACGGCGACAAGACCCACCGCCGTGAAGATCGAGGACGACGACCGTTCCGAGATCACCGCGGAGGTCAGGATCGCCGGGGACGCTGGGGAGGCCGTATGAAGAAGTTGAAGCAAGTTTTTCATGCCATCCTCGAGGACAACGAGGACTCCGACTCTGCTGATGGTTCCTCCTCGGGGTCTTCCAGGTCCGAGCCGAATGACGAGGAGGCCAGAGACGGGCCGGTGCCGAACAAGGAGGAGGACACCTCAGAAGGCTCGATGCCGGCCGAAGTGTACGCCCAAGAGTACAAGGCGAAGAAGAAGGTGAACGAGCTGAAGCAGATGAGGCAATATTTCCAGCGTGGCAATGCCGACAAGACCAAAGCCTGGGTCAAGGAGCAGCAGAAGAAAGAGCCTTGCTTTCTGTGCAACAAGCTTGGGCACTGGAGCCAGGAGTGCCCACTCAGGCAACGTGGACAACGCCGAGGGCCCCACGCAGTGCACGTGACAGCCGGTAGTTCGAGTGCGGACCCAGCCCAATGGAGCTTGCTCGAAGGCTTGTCGCGATATACAGCTGGGGTTGAGCCGTGTGCGAGTGGGCAGGTTCATGCATGCTTGGTTGCAGCTCGTCGTCAAGTGTGTGCTACAGTCAATCATGATGTATGCTGGTCCATGCGTGAACTTCACAGCAGTTTGATTTTGGACTTGGGATGTATGAAGTCGGTGGCAGGTACCAAGTGGGTGAATCAGCACATAGCCCGACTTCGTGAGCTTGGTCGTTGGATGAAAGCTTCCAAGGAGAGAGAGAGAGAGAGAGAGAGAGAGAGAGAGAGAGTTTTCGTTTTGGTGATGGGCATGAGCTGATGAGTGAGTACTCGTTTCTCTTTGAGGCCACGGTGTTGGGGTGAGAGTGATACTCAAGATAAGTGTGGTGCCTGGGGAATGTCCGCCGTTGTTGTCGAAACCTGCGTGCACACAGCTGGGGATGATCATCGACACCGAGAACCACCAAGTGTCCTCTCGCAAACTTCGAGTGTCTCGTTATGGTTTGTCACAAACGTATGGTGGGCACTATGTAATCCCGATCGCTGAGTTTTCCGATGCGATGACCCCGGTGTACGAGCCCCGCATCCCCAAGCACCTCGAGGCCATTCCCGTACCACAACGAGCCCCGAGGCACCAGGGATGAGGGAACGCCCCCTCTGCGTTCGTGGACAAGGCATGACAAGCATGTGACCCATACCGTGGGACCGGGAGCAAGTGGGCCGTCGTGGTCGTATGTGGTGCGTCGGGTGATATACGATTCGAGCACTGGTGAGAAGCTGTTGGAAGAATCGATTCATGAGGGTACCCCAATCCGCAAGCCATTGGATGGACTCCATGACACCACGACGATCTTTATGTTCCGCGCCGGCCCCCTCAAGATGACTTCTAGCAATTCGTGTGACGCCCCTGCTCCCTCTTCCTCGGTGGCTGCTACGCATGGGTCCTCGCCACCGTCTGCCTATCGAGGTCGACGAGAGCCAGGACGAGCAGGAGGAGACGGAATCGCCGACCCTTCCGACGGTGAGCCACCACCGAGTTCCCGAACATCACCGGATGGACCATGCAGACGAGGAGGAGCTGAGGACTTCTTGGGAGCAGGTGGGCTTGGAGGAGGGATCACGCAGCGAGACCGAGACGAAGGCCGAGCCGTCGACACGTCGTCGAACTCCAGGCCATGTGAGGGCCTTGGGCCGTTTGCTGAAGGCCCGGTCAAAGTCGGCGGAGAACCGCAAGCCTCGCGTCCGGACCGAGAGAAAGGCTACCCCCTCCCCGAGGAGAAGGGCATCGAGGATGGAGACGCGATCCCCTCAAGGAACCCGGACGCCGACGAGGAGCACAACGTCGTCTACGACGAAGGCGTACCTGGAGGCGCAAGCGGCCGAGCTGGAGGAGCAGTTGTGGCCGTACATGGACCCAACGTCGATCCGGGTCGAGGGCTCCAAGGCGACAAAAGCGTACTGGGTGGAGAAGATTCGTTTAATGGAGGAGGAGCTGTCGCACTGCCTGGCGCCCGGACCTATGGAGCTGGACAAGCTGAGCAAGACTGGCGAAGACGACTTGGAGGAGGTGATCGACTCGGAAGTCAAGGACAAGACGAGAGCAACGACGAGAAAGAAGACGGCGGCGCCGAAGTCTTATTCGACAGCCGAAGCCAGTGCAGCGTCGACTCGGACCACGAAGGCAAAAGCTCCTCCTCGCCAAGGTGCCCTGACCGACCTGGCGGCACCTTTCCCCTCCCTGTCGAACAAGTTCTCCGAGGACGTGGTGATCAACATGATGTTGAGTCTGCAAGGGAAGCTGTTTGCTTTCAAGTGGAAGACGTTCCTCATGATGCTGAGGGTGAAAATGGCGGTGAACCGGGAGATGGGCCCCTCCGTGGGCTGGCGGAGGAATCCCAAGTGGCTGATGCAACTGCTGGGAAGGGAATGCGCAAGCATCTGGGGCCACATGGGGGCCGCGAGGCAGTTGTGCAACAGCCACAAGTTGCTCCACTTGATGCAAGCGCCTCCACGGGAACCAGAGCTGCGCAGCACCCGTCGAGGGGGGTGACGCAAAAGCTTCGCAGAGGACTCGCGGCTGCCCGAAAGATCCTCTGTTTGTTGACCTTGGCGGCCACCTTCACCTATAGATGGACGGCAGTGGAAGTGTTCCGAACAGGGACCCCGTGGAATGATTGCCAGACGGAGCAGGCCTGGGAGATGAGCGAGCCGTTCTGGACGGAGAACAGGGTGCCGGGAGCCAAGGAATGCCGGCGTTTACGTGAGCAGGTGGAGAAAAAGGTCCCCGACGTGATCTTCATTGCCCCGCCTACGGGACCATTCTCCTCGTGGACCAGGGCGTCGACTAAGGACTTGCGAGAACAGAAGGCCCGATACTGGCCACTGTGGGAAATGATTCACAAGTTGTGGCAGTGGCAAACTCGACGCGGGCGCCTCGTTTATCTCCAGATGCCCGCGGGCTCACATGTTCCCGGCCCTGGTGAAATGCAAGAATGCTATCATGCCGGTGGAAGTGAACTGGGAACCGAAGGGAAGATCGACTGGGCAGCCGGAGATCGTGAGGCGGTGTATGAGACGCAGGCCGACCTTTGTATGTATGAGCACCGCGACCCGGAAACCCTCAAGTTCTACAAGAAGGCCGTGAAGATTGAAACGAACGATGCGGCCTGGAGCTCTTGGCTGGGAGCCCACAGCCGTTGCACTCATGGGCCTGGACGGCATCAAGAAGTAGTTGGGTTCGCTTCTGGACCAGATGGACAGCTATGCAGCCGGGCAGAGCTGGCGGGGAGATGGCCACGGAGTTGGGCATCGCGGCTGCTGGACACTGCCCAGGCTGCACTCGAGGCCAGATGCTGCATGCCTCCTGACGTGACTTTGCATCAAGAATGTCCGGGTCAAGTGGAGTGGGAGGAGGCCGAAGTAGATAGCTACATACCTCCTGACATGACTTTGCATCAAGAATGTTCGGGTCAAGTGGAGTGGGAGGCGGTGCCGGTAGAGATCGAGAATTCGCCTGAAGGTCTTCTCAGGCAACGGTTGGGCGAGGTCACCGGCGACCAGTACGACTACATCTACTTTGAAGGTGGGAGTGGAGCCCTGTCCAAACCACTTCCACCTTGGCCAAGCTACATGTGGTGTTAGGACATGTGTCAAACGCCAAGCTCAAGCGCATGCTCCACCTCAACGGGGCGAAGGACCACCTTTTGGCCGCAGCCGGAGACCTACGTTGCCAGGTATGCCAATCCGTGGTTCCACCACGGACAGTTCCGAGGGCAGCATATGACCGCCCCAGCCGTTTCAACGAACGAGTGGTAGTGGATGTGTTTTTCATTTGGGACTCGGCCAAGACCAAATACGCAGTGGTGCATGCAGTGGATGCTTTTGCATTGTACCAGGTGGCCACCTTGATGCATACAGCGAGGGCGGACTTGGTGGGCCACTTCCTCAAGAACTATTGGATTGGCGTGTTTGGGCCCCCGGATGTGATTATGAGCGACGGCGGCAACGAGTTTGCGGCCGAGACCGAGGGCTTGTTGCGGGCCTATGACATCTTTCACGAGATTGTGCCCCCGGCGGCAAAGTGGAGAATGGGTTTGGCGGAGAGGCACGGCGCCGTGCTGAAGCTCCTCATTATGAAGACGGTGCAGGCCACGACCGCCAAGGGCTACAGCGAGACGAAGGAGTGTGTGATGGCGGCCACGGCGGCACGCAACCGCCAATCACGGATCAGCGGGTTTTCACCGACCCAGATTGTCCTGGGAAAGGATGTGGCGATACCCTCCTCCTTGCTGGGACAGATCGAGAAAGGCCACTTCAAGTATGTGCTCAACCAGGACCTCTCCTTTGACGAGGCCAGGAGGCGGAACGAACAGATCCGTCAGGCTGCGGAGCACGCCTTTGTCTGGGCGGACTCGAGTGAAACGCTGAGGCGAGCGATCAACTCGCGATCCCGTCATCCCCGTCTGGAGATGCTGTATGAGGGGGCCACTGTCTACTACTACGACCCGCCTGCTTCCCGACGCGGACTCCCGAAGAGGCTGCAAGATCAAGATTCGTGGTCGGGCCCAGGCGTTGTGGCAGCGCTGGAGAGGAGAGATGGCGCCATTCGGCGCGTCTGGATTCGCTACCGGAGCAAGCTGAAGGGCGTGCCGCTCGAATATGTCAGGTTGGCTGCCTTGGAAGAGGTTGAGTCTTCCCGGGTTTGTCAACAGGCGCTTCAAGAAGTGGAAAAGGAGCTACAAGGGGGACGACCGGAGGTGGAAGAGATGGTGGAGCCCGAGGTGACGAATCCAGACCCTCCACTTTTGGAGTTCAGTGGAGATGAAGAGGAGGAAGCACCGGCAGAACCTCCTCCTCCTGCGTCCAGTTTGGATGACGTCCCGGCTCAGCTCCATCGAGATCACAGTCCACTTTACAGGTTGCCGCAAGCCGGGCAGCCCCCTTCCAAGAAAGTGCGATTCGAGGAAGGGAAGGAGCGTACAGAAGAACATCTACGAAAAATGAAGACCAGGCTTCAACCAGAACCTGCGAGTGGAGCCCGGCCCACATCGGCTGCACCCTCGTCGGCAAGTACCAGGCCTGGACCCTATTCGGTTCCGAAAGCAGCTCCTCCCCAGAAGCCAGCGAGTCACCGGGGCCCGGGCATTCTGTATGCCAGTGCCAAATGGGAGTTGGAAGGAGCTATGCGGATGCAGAGGTGCATGCTTCAAGAAGCCAAGGGGGACAAATGGGATGTACATGCCTCCGAGGCCGGACGCCTGACGGATGAGATTGTGCAGGCGGTGGACAAACTACAAGTGAAGCCGGTCCCGAGCCAGATCGAGCAGCCAGTCACCGGAAAGCCCCGCCTGGAGTACAAGTGGAATAAGCTTGGACTGGAATAAGCCGGCCTGGAAAAACGCCTTTATCGGACCCTTGAAGGACGCCATCGACGTCTACATCGACAACCAGGCAGTGGAGCCCGTCCCCATGGAACAGATGGTCCCTCCGGACAATATCCTACCCTCGCGTTTTGTCCTGACGAATAAGAACGAGGAACAGGAGCTCGAGAAGGCGCGGTTGAAGGCGAGATGGGTGCTGGCTGGCCACCTGGACAAGGAGGCCGGAAAGTATGCGACGGAGGCCCCTACGGCAAGTTTGGTGTCGCATAACCTGGTATGTTATGTCAATGTGGTTGGCCACTCAAGTATGCGGACATTTCTGCGGCTTTTCTTCAGGGAGAACATCTGAGTGATGAAAGGGTGGTCTACATTCGGATGCCCAGAGGATACCCTGAGGACGTGGCCACCCACCTGCTTCAACGTTTGGGCGGGAGACTTCCTGGAGGAATTCGGACTGACTTGGTCCGTTTGACAAAGGGAGGTTTTGGTCTCTCAGAGTCTCCGCGATTATGGTACCTTCGTTTGAGACGAGGCCTCATAGACGTGGGACTGAAGGAACTCAAGCTGTCGCCCGGCACCTTTGTCTTTCACCACCGAGGCGAACTTCGAGGAATCGTGGCCGTGCACGTGGATGACTTGAGGATAAGTTTTGATCCTAAGTTTGAGTATGTGCTGGACAAGTTGCGTCAGGCCTTTTCGTTTGGAGAGTGGAAGTCGGCCCTCACCGAAACGGTCAAGTTTTGCGGACGTTGGGAACGACAGTGCGCTGAGACCTTCCAGGTGACGGTGACGATGGACGGCTATGCCCACAAACTGGTGGATCCCCCTCAGCGAGCACCCGGGGATCGACAACCTCTTACAGATGCCGAGAAGAAGTGGGTGGCCTCGGTTGGAGGCCAAATCAACTGGATGGCCAGGCAGGGACGAGCCGACCTGGCGTTCGGGATATCCAAGGTGCAGCAGATGGCCGGGGCCAAGGATCCCGAAACGCTGAAGGCTCTGCTCCAGCTGGTGAAGAAAGCTCGTGAGCCCTACAGTTGTATCTTCCAGGCCCTTCCCGGCGGCTTTGACGACATGATCTTCCTCGCGGTAAGTGATGCCTCGCATGCGGCCATGCCGAAGGGGAGGTCCCAAGGAGGCATGATGATCTTGAATGCCTCGGAGAAGATCTTAGATGGGGAAGCGCAAGTGAACTGTTTGTTGTATCACAGCGCCGTCCTCAAGAGGGTGGTGCGCAGCAGCTTGGCGGCGGAGATCTCTCAGGCGGCGGAGACCCTCGAGCAGTGCGACTTCGTGAGGGCGATGATGGCGGAGATCGTGGATGTCAAGTTCACTTTGGGCCAGTGGCTGTGGAGTGCAAGCCGGTGGCGCGAAATCCTGGTCTTAGACTCGAAGACAGGATACGATGTTCTGAACAGCATAAGCCACGGCGAGGACAAGAGGCTGGCCATTGACATCGCGATCTTGAAGGAGTCGTTGTACGAGCCCCATAGCAACAGATGGGTGCGTTGGGTGCCCGGCATGACGATGCCATCCGATGGCCTCACGAAGGAGTACGGGAATCCGATGAGGGATGCCGTAATGCAAGGCGGCACCTGGAGTCTACGAGATTCCCCTGAGGCTCAGCGACTTCGAGAAGAGGCCGGTCACCGAAAACGAAAATGCCGTGACCGAGCTCGAGAGCGCGAGCAGGAGATCGAGGCCCTTCGGCAGGCGACGACAGCAGCTCCAAAGGGGGTTGGTGTCAAAGTAGGCATATAGGACAGCCGCTGTACAAGCGTCGCCGGCCGAAGGATGGAGGCTCACAGCTGTGCGTACGACGTAAAAGGCCCGTTGCGGTCGCTGTTGAGTTTTGTGCCGTTGGGGTTTTCTAGTCTTAGCATGATTGCCTTACTGCTTATGGCTTCTGCGCAAATTACATTTAGGAGTAGTAGGCAAGGGGCTGTAGGCAATACTTAGTATGATAATCTTGCTTCCATTGGCTTCGGGAAGGTTGCATTAAGGAGTATCTGTGGGCAATACATACTTCCTATGGTTCAGCGTTGGGACATGGCGTCCCGACCCCGCGCAGTGCGAGGATCGAGCTGACAGCTAATGCCAGCCATTCGAACATGGTGGCTGAACGCAAAGACAGGATGCAAGCCAAGAGACGTTATTATGCCCCCCCAACCCCCCCCCCCCCAAACAAAACCCCCTCCCATGACGAAAACGCAGCCAAAACCCAAGGCGCCTGGCGCGCATGTCGCCAACTAGTAACTCTAGACTGACTCCGCTTCAAGTCCTCACAGGTCCTCTTTCGAGTTTTGGTGTGGCGCCCTGTCCAAGGCCTACTACTCTACCGC